TTTTGCACGTTGGGATGGGTTATCTCGCCTAGCTGAGTCGATCTATGGTCCGCAATTATGGTCCGAACATCACGAAATTTTACATGGAGAAGGGGATCGGGCCAAAGAATAGGCGCATGCCTGTTTTCATAAAGATCGATCAATATTTAGCCGTTCAAACGGACCCTGACTTTTGTGTGAAATATGACAAAATTTGTATTCTATGGCGTATATATTTACTCCTAAAGGACATAGAGCCGAGAAGTTGATAATATATCCAAGAGGAGTGATTGGCCATTAAATTGATAATTATATTGTCGTACGTAGTCGGATGTAGGAGTTACACGAAAATATTTTCAGGAGCTTACGCATTCATATATTATTTAGTACCCCATAACTACCCTAGAGGGCGAAAATATAGAGCTGATCGCTTCGAAATTTTCCATGAGGATCCAGGTATGGTCAAGGACAACACCTATAATTTTCGGTGATGATCTGATGATAAACTTATCCGAAAACATATTTTTTTTGTGTTTATTTCGAGACGATCTATAAGCCACGATTGAAAGCCGAACATCACAACACAACCCACGGTGAAAGGAATATGGCAAGTAATTAAAAGGGCTACACTGCATATTAGAATTATTTGTTGACCTCTTGTAGGCCAAGAGGGGGGCAAAAATTGCGAAATATTATCCATGCTCAGAATATAGAACCACAGAATGTTAGATTTTCGTGGAAGTTGTGTAGGGTATCATATGGTCGGCCCCGTCCGACTATACAGCTCCGCTCACTAGTTGTAATTAATATTGTATAGATATTCACTGCATTTATTAGCTTTTATAAAAAAATATTGCGATTTTGACCTTTTCAAACTTTTCTACGATTGTCAGCTTCTGTGCCGTTTCATTTTTTATTATAAAAATATAAAAATAGATTTTTTATTAAAAAAACTAATATATTCATTATGTTTAAAGCCACATAAATTTTAAATTGGCATGCCATTTATTATTGAGTAATTATTAAATTAAAAAAAATAACAAATAATATATATTAATTAAAATGGACAATATGTTTATTGTTGTGTTTTGTTGTTATTGTTAACTATACACACAACTAACTATTAAAGTATTATTTATATAGTAATAAATTAAAAAAATAATAATAAAAAAGGAAAGTAGCAATTGGCAGCCATGATCCGCACAACCTGTTAAATTTAATAATGTGTAGATATGAAAGTGTTAATTGTAACCACACACACACATGTAAATATTTCATTTTCCACATATAAAAAAATTAAAATCGTATAATATAAAAGCAACTTTTAATTACCTCACTATAACCTTCTAAATGAAATAAATGATTGGCTATTTATATTTATTAAAAAAAGCAAAACAAAAAAAAAAAACAGAAAAATAATATAAATATAAATCACAATACAATCAATTGACTTTAACAAAATGCATCACACACACATATAAATTTAAAAAACAATAATTGACATTGAACAATATTAAATGTAAATTATATATAAAAAAACAAATTAGCCATTCAGACTACTTCAATTTTCAAGTGTGGTAAATTTTTTTCCATAATGAGAAACAGCTGAACCATGTGGTTAACATTTTATCGATGTTATATGTTTTCAATTGTCATTGAATGCAATTTCAAAATTAATTTATTATATGAGAAACATTTTTCATTTAATATTGAAATTTATTATTTGATAATTTCAACCACAAAACTTTCTGTAAAAGCCCTTTAAAATAGCAAACTTAAGTCTAAGTATAAATAATCATATACCTTTTAAAATATTTAATCAAAATTAAAATAAAAATATATTTACAGGGTGAAATAAAAAAACTGCAACAAAGTCAAACGGCATAATTATTACATTTTTTTTTTAATTTTATTGAATGAAAGCAAAAATTGTCGGAAATAGCGTCAAATTTTAGAAAAAGTTTAGATTTATTCGAATTGGTCATCTTTGGCGCGAATTATGGCCTTCAAACGGCCAATGAAACCATCACACGTTGCCCGATTGTTGCTCTGCGGTATTTTGGCCCATTCCCGGCGAAGAGCTTGCTTGAGGCGATCGACACATTGGTATTTTTTAGTGCCAACTTTGCTTTCCAAAATACTCCCGACACATTAGTCCAACGGATTGGTGGCCATTGTGCGCTGGAAATGAAGCGAGGAACCTCATTTTGTAACCTTTATTGGGTGCCGCGTCCACCATCGCACTCAGGATGGTCCTGTTGGAATGTCCAATATCTGCGGCCAAAATTTTTGTGTGCCCAAGGCTTAAATACACCCTCCAGAAAATTTTCGCGATAATATTCAGCATTAATTCTGATGATATTCGATAAATACGAGCGAAGAGCTACCATCGGCTGTTATGGCGGCCAACCGAAGGTTTACATTTTGTTTGTTTACAAACTGCTGGACAACGAATGGTTTCTCATCGAAGGAAACCAAATTCTGCAGTTCACCACTTTCGGTCATGTTCTTTAGCTTTTTTCAGTCTATTTTCTTTCTGTTCCATCACGAATAACTTCTTTCTGGAAAATTGTTACCATAATGCTATTATACGCTTGTAAACAATATAATGAGTTGCCACGGGGAAACATTTAACAGCTTTCGGACGAGTGGCTTAGAAATGACAGCAGTCTGAATTTGGTTGCAGTTTTTTTTTTTCATCTCAACCTGTAGTTAATAATATTTTAACAAAATTCTTATCTAATGTTGGGTCTTCGTTTATTGATAGGGCCTTCAAAAATATCTTAATGGGGGCTAGATCTAAATCGGAACCGATTTTCACGAAACATAGCAAACATCATTCTGGACCTAATTCACTACCATATGCCAAATTTCGTTCACATCGAAAGGTATATAGGGAGTTTGAACGAAAATATATATGGGTGCTATATATAAATCTGACCCGATTTTGGCACACGATTTGGCATACGTCATTCTAGACTCAATTAAGTACAGCATGCAAAATTTCGCGCATATCGAAAGATATATAGGGACTTTGGTGCACCAATTACATAAAATCGGACAAAACTATATGTGGGAGGTATATCTAAATATGAACCGATTTTCACGAAACTTAGCACACATCATTCTGGACCTAATTTAGTACTCTATGTCAAATTTCGATCAGATCGAATGATATATAGGGACTTTGGTGCCCCATTTACCTTAAATCGGACGAAACTATATACGGGAGCTACATCTACATCTGAACCGATTTTCTTCAATTTCAATAGGATTTCTCCTTGGGCCAAATAAGTTATATATGCCAAATTTCATCCAAATCGGATCATAAATGCGATCTGTACTTGGTTTAGAATTTAACATCTTCAGACGGACGGACATACATAAATCGACTCAGAAAGTGATTCTATGCATATTCTCAACAGGAAGCTTGTGTCAATCTCGTTTCCTTTTGCCTGTTACAAACATATGCACAAATACATAATACCGTGTACCACGGTGTGGTGAAGGGTATAGAAATCTTAGATGTTCTAAAGTCCTTGAAAAATTATTTAAAAAAAAAATATTACTTCTCAAAAAAATATTTTTAAACCAGTGAGCGGAGCAGTATAGTATACCCTACACAACATCCACGAAAATCTAACTTTCTGTGGTTCTACATTCTGAACTTGGGTAATATTTCTCGATATTTGCACCCTGTTAACCGACTAGAGGTCAACAAATATTACTTAAATTCAGTGCAGTCCTTCTAATTACTTTTCCAGATTCTTTTCACCGTGGGTTGTGTTGTGATGCTCAACTTTCAATTGTGGCCTATAGATCGACTCGAAAAACACATAAAATGTTTTCGGCCCACTTCATACCAATATTGTTGTCTGATCATAGTCGAATATTATAGGCGTTGTCCTCGACCATAACTGTAACATCATGGACACTTTCAGCGCTATATATTCGTCTTCTACTGTGATAATGGGATACTAAATAATATGTGAATACGTAAGCACATGTATATATTTAAGTGTAACTCCCACATCCGAGTGCATCAGTGCATAGGTCAACCACTCCTCTTGGATATACTACCAACTTCTCGGATCTATGCCCTTCAGCCGTAAACATATATGACACATAATACAAATTTTACCATTTTTCACACAAAAGTCAGGGTCCATTTGACCCGCTAAATATTGGTCAATCTTTATCAAAACAGGTATGCATAATATTTGGCCCGATCCCCTACTCCATGTACAAATTCGCGATGTTTGGGCCATAATTGTGGCCCCTGGAGCGACCAAAAAATCAAACAAAAAAGTTGTTGTTCTATTTCATCCTCTAAATATTAACCGATCTTTAGATTGGTCCATTACTGTGGCCTGTATTGTGTTTACAAATTATAATGAACAGACGAACGGTGTCTAGATCGACTCAGGTAGTCGAGATATGACAATCTGTATACTTAAAAGTGGTCTATGACCAATGTGGCGTTACAAACTCTTGGGGCTACACAACATAGTTGTGTAGGATGTAAAAATCGACGCTTGATAATAGTCCCTGAAAAAATATATTTTAAAAAATCCTCTATTCTTATAGTCGTTAAAAATTCCATTTTTTCTTTTAAATTCTTTAAAAAACGTCAGGAGTCTTTTTAGCCTATGGCAAAAATATTTTTTTTAATTTTTCTTATATGAGATGGTCGCCATAGGTCATTCCTTTAATTAAAGAAAATAATTAATTATTTAATTTTTTTTTTTTTGTTTCTGGCATTACACCTTTCCAACATTATTTTCATTATTTTTAATTGCATGCATTTTATTTTTGTATTTCATTTTTAATAATTAAAATTTTAATTTTATGAATGATGTTTGTGTTGCTTGCATGTTGTTGTAGTTATTTTTAATAAAAAAAAATATTTTTTTTTTAATTTGATTTCCCTTGCCTACTTTAAATCAAATCTAATATCTCAATTTCTCTTTATTTCTATATCTCACTTTATGACATAAACTGCCTTGGAACTGCCGCTATAGGTCACTGCCACCGATGGTGATAAGGATCGTCCACAAAATATTGTCTATTTCTTGACGGGTCAGGGTATTGATCCTGATAATCCAGCTAATTCCAAATTCGATATTAATCGTACCACAGGAGAAATATTTGTATTGAAGGTAAGTTAAAATACTAATAGTTATACAATTTTTACATAATTCTATAAAAACTTATTTTATTTAAAAAACGATATTTAAATATTTTGGTAAATTTATGAATCTGAAACGGACAATTTCCGAACACACAATAAAATACCATTAATATTTTAATATGAATGAAAAAAGTATGAAAATAAAAAAAAATCTATCGAAATTCTTAACGCCCTTGTCTGCGGGGAAACAGTTTAAAATAAAAAAATATTTATGGTAAATAATTTAAATTAGAAAAATAGCTTTAAAAAACATATTTTCAAAAAGAAAAATCTCGTAAAAATTAATTTTTAAATTGATTCCTTTCATAAAAAATCCCTTGTACCTTTCTTTAATAAAAATTAATATTAAAAGTTTTTTTGTAACAACCCATTACAAAGATTTCCTCAGAATCGCTTCCATTAAAATTAAAAATGTTCATTTTAAATAAATATAATTACTATTTCAACTTAAATACCAAACGTTTCTGCAGAAGGGGAAAAAACATATTTTGTGTAAAGTTCGTAATTGCATTTGCATGGATTTTTCCTTTTTTTTTTTTTTTTTGATGATACCACAAACGCACACTCACACACATTCTCACACTCTTTCTGTCTCTGCCACACATACATTTACCCCGTCAAAAGAAGATTTAAGTAGAAAAATATTACTGATGGCTATGTGGTCCAGTGCTGCCACTTAAATAATAGTTTTTTTTTTTGAACATTTATAAAAGCGCAATAATTGCTGGTATAATAATGAAAAATGACTTATAATTTTTTACATCAAAATTATTCGCCCATTCGTACGTCATGTAAATATGATGAATTCCACAAACGCCAGTCTATACATTCTCACACATTCCGTGTCGTATATTGCCTATATTATGCAGCCGGGGAATTAAGCGACATGAACAGTAAGCATAACAATAACAACAACTTCAACTGCCATAAATAATAATTGTTTGGAAATTGACAATTACAACAGCAGCAACGGACAATAACTTAACAATAACAACAACAACAAAAAGCATTGCAAAATATGACTTCACTTTATTCTGGCCACGAAATAAATGTTGGCTTATTACATGATGATAAGCCTATGACAAGCCTTAAGGTATGCAATAATTATTGTCTGCTTACATATACAGAGGGAAATGTGCGAATATATGTGTTTGTATTGGTGTACGATTGCAATGTAATTTATTTTCGCACACTCAACCACACACACATGCATACATTCACTCACCCAGAGATTCCATAAAACTTTGTTGTGGTATGGCAAATTGCGATAAATTCTCAAAAGTTGTTGTTGTTGTTGCTGCTTTCAATGTGGACCAAATGTCAGCTGTAAGTCGTCATACTTTTCGTAATGCGGTTTTTGCTACAACTTATAATTAAGAATACCCCCCACAAGGGTAGTGGTAAAATAAATTGTAGTTCGAAAAGGGATTTAAATAAATGCATAAGAGATACATTTAATAAAAAAAAACTAATAAAGCATACTTTTAGGAGCAAGAACAGCGGAAAGTGTTTAAATATAATTTCAATCAGATCTGCGGTTTGGGCCTATTACATGGGGCTCTAGCACTAAACAAAAGAAAATTCATGGAACTCTTAAAAAAAATTGTCCTTGTACAAATGTTTTTAAAAAAATCACGCGTTTTGTATTCTATAAAACCATTTTTTTAATCCATAATTCTTAATAGTCCCTTAACATTTTTTTTATTAAAAACATATTAAAACCAGTGAGCGGAGCAGTATAGTCGGACGGGGCCGACCATATGATACCCTACACAAATTCCACGAAAATCTGTCTTTCTGTGGTTCTACATTCTGAGCTTGGGCAATATTTCGCGATATTTGCACCCTCTTAACCGACTAGAGATTCCCTTCAAAAAAATTAAGTTTTCGGTCCATTTCATCCCAGAATTATTATCTGATCATCACCGAAAATTTTAGGCGTTGTCCTTGACCATTACTGGAACCGCATGGAATATTTCAAAGCGATCAGCGCTATATTTCCGCCCTCTAGTGTGGTAATGGGTTACTAAATAATATCTGAATACGTAAACACCTATAAATATCGGGGGCATATATAAACGCCATAGAATACAAATTTTGTCATTTTTCACACAAAAGTAAAGGTCCATTTGACCCGCTAAATATGGACCGATCTTTATCAAGACTGACATGCTTATTCTTTGGCCCAATCCCATTCTCCATGTAGAAATTCGCGATGTTTGGGCCATATTTGCGGCCTCTAGAGCGTCCAGAAAAGCAGATAAAAAATTTAGTTTTTGGTCCATTTCATCCCCTAAATATTAACCGATCTTTACCAAAAACAATAGGGGTCTTCCATAACTGTGGCCTGTATCGTGTTTACATATTATAAAGGACGGGCGGACGGACACACATGTCTACATCGACTCAGCTAGTCGAGATATTACGATCTGTATACTTAAAGGTGGGTCTAGGAACAATATTTTGCGGCATTACAAACTCTTGGGGCTGCACAAAGCTATAATTCCCTGACAACATAGTTGTGTAGGGTATACAAATAACGCCTCCTTATAGACCATAAAAAATATCCTCCAATTTTATTTTAGTTTTTAAATTCCACCATTTTATATATTTTTAGAAATACCACGCCTTTTATGGCCTCTAAAAATAATTCTATAATTGGGAGAACAAATGTAGGGGTTAAAATAAAATTTATGAATTTTAGATTCGAATACCAAGGAAGGAGGAGCATTTATTTTAAATTGGTTTTCGAATATTTTGTAAAAAGAAGTTTACATCGGGTGAAATGCATCCGAAGCCCCCTGACATTCATTTAAGCGACATGGGCATCAACAAATAGGAATAGCGGGAAAGAGCGCCATCAAGAGGAAAATAAGAACTCTAAATAAGCAAGTACACCAACCAATACTCACAATTCAAAAGGCAACGATAGATGGCAGCCCATCATATATGATAAGGCTACAGCAGACCCAATATATACTTGGACGGAATAAAAAACATTAAAATGATTAAGAATTAAATAATAGAATAATTTTATGATGTCTCCACAAGCATTTTCAAATGCATTTATAAAATGATAAAAATGTAGCCATTAATTGGAATTAAAATTAATGAAATACCTATCACACATGTATATTTTATAGAATCTCTAGGTGAGGTATCAGTATTTAGAATGGTTAGGCTATAATGTGTTGTTTGTAAGACCGACACAATAAAACAATTGATTTTAAGTTCTTATTAGGATAGAACATAACATGAATGACAGACAATACCACCACCGTGAATAAATAAAATGCAATGAGACATTGTTTCTAGGCAACAATAGATGGCAGCCACATAGTTGTGTTGATTTACCCCAATTAAAAAAAAACAAATTAAACCAGCTTAAAACAAAAACCTTAGCAAAAAATTCAAATCCATCTAGGGGTTTTCCTCTACCATCATAAGCTTAAAAATTTTGGCGGTCCCGATTTGTTCAAGATTTTAGTGTTGCACAGTGTAATAGGCATGACAGGAAAATTACGGCATTAAATTAGTAAGGACCCCAACCACTGTATTCAATTCAAGGATTTGTTGTTTCTAGGCAACAACAGATGGCACCTACATCACCTACAACAGGCTACAGTAGTCCCATCATCTACTCTGATGGAATAACAAAAAAATACTATGAAGTGATAAATGAAACTAAATGCCCTTGGATATATTTTTAATTGTAACAAAGACACATTTTAATGAAGTATTTTGGGGAAATTAATTAAGTTCAAGTTTTAAGGAGTAGTATCAGCCGACTTCCAATCCATTTTTTCAATATATAAAATAGATTCCAGCAAATATAAATATTAATAATTTAAAAATAATTAGTCACACATTGACATGAAAAATATTTTTACTTATTAAAGGAAATATGATATTATAAAAGGTCATAGGAAAATTTTCTATAGGAGTATATTTTTGGGAGAAAAATAAAATTTTTAATTCATGAATTATAAAGCAATATTTCTTCCCTTTTAATATATACCTTGTTTTATTACCTCCATAACGTATTTTATTTAATAAAATTAATTTTCAAAATGTAAAACAAACTTTTAGGATACGATTAATTTAGTGTATACATTTAGGGACTCACTATTTCAGTTGTCGAAAAAATGTGTTTTTTTTAAATACACTCCTAAATGTATGCAACTTTAAACCAACTATTTTCAATATTACATTTTCATTTATAATCTCGGTCTTCCCTCTCTTTCATTCATTGTCGAACTTTCTCTCCAACTTATTACATAAAAAAAGTAAAACGAAATTTCTTAATAGATTTACACAAACCATTACAGCAGCAACAAGAAAGAAAGAAAAACGAAACACCAAGTGTCAAATACAATAACGAGTAGCAAAAAAACTTTCCTCCTAACCACCACTTTTCTTTTATATAAAATTTTAGATTTTATTCACTTCCATAAAATGGGGAAATATTGTCATAAAACTACTTTTAATGTACACACAGAGAGTTTTCTTTTACTTTTGGTTTTTGGTGAGAAAATAATTTTGAAGAAAAAATTGTGTGCTTAAAAAGAAATGAAATTGCAAAAGAAAAGAAAACGATTCAGTACACTTAAACAATCAAATCCCCCCTTTGACTGAGTGTTATATTTTGAATGATAATATTTCCTGGAAATTTTTGTTAACCTTATTTGGTTTTTTTTTTTTTTTGTAATGCATTTCAGTACCATGAAATATAATAAGACCAAAAGTGCATTTTCATGTTAAATAGCAGATGAATGGGAAAACTAAATATTGACACTTTGACTTTCTCGTTGCTGAGGAAGGAATAATTCAAGATAGGGATTTCTTCTGTGAATCTGTATTACGTTATGGTGATAATCACCCATGTGCTATATTTCGAGTTTGCTCGAATGTGAAACATTTTCCCACATTTGGTGTGTTCCATTCCAAATACCCCAAAAAATATTGGGA